ATCCCCGTATAACACGGTGCTTTTATAGCACGGATTCACTAACATGGTTTGAGAATTGGGTAAAACCCTCGTACAACATGAAATATAATAAATTTTCACATACTTAAGTACTAATAGTTCACAAAATAATNGAATAATGAAAAATTTTCTGATTTTTATTTTTTATAGAATAAAAATCATTTTTATTTAAAATGATTTTTTAGGTTACTTAAATAAAAAATCATTTTAAATACTAAGAACTTATTCAGATAAAATTCAATAATAATTTAAATTTTTTTTTTCTATTAGATATCCGATAAATAGAATAGTGAAAACGAAATTTCTCATAAATTTGATCCTAATCTTATAATAGAGATGGGTTGATGATAATACTATTTTCAGGAATATAAAGATTTATATGTTAAGAAATTTGGATAGTTCAAAATACGGCTACTTCAAAATTTAAAGAAAAAATTCTGTCTGAACCTTAATATGAGTATGTTAATTTGTTCATTTATATTAAAATGTCTCCATACTATAAGAGAACAATAGACCAAAAACAACTCTAATCTGGTCAATATGGCTTTTCTTTTACAGTAATACATTTTTGAGTGTCACCTTACCCATGGACTACCCTTTTTTCTCTTTTCTCATAAAATACATCTGGGTTGCAGGATTGCAATATTGAGCTAAAAGTAGCAAATTGAGATATTTTTAGGGGTCTAGGCTACTACATTTGGGCAACTTACTACTTTTTGGGGCACTTTAAAAATAATTTGGGCTACAGTTCAAGAAATTCTGCTTTACTTTTTATAAAACCTATCTGGTAACCTGTGAGGTTCTCACTGGACTGTGCTGTTTACCTGCAGTTTATTTGTATTATTATTATCGTTAATTATTAATTAACAAAAATAACATTTTGTATATGTAGCTGTGTTTCATTTGCTTAAAAAAAAAATACATCAGTTACATGGCATTTGGCATATTGCACAGAAATATGTATATCTCAAATAATTTGAAACTTGATAATTCAAAGTCACAATTATTTCATCCCATGAATTTTGAATTAACGAGGATTTCCTGTATAGACATTTTGAAAAGCATGCTTTCTTGACCTTCTATAAGCTTATATAGTCTTCAGCTCACTTGGTGATTAACAGCTCATTACATAAAATTATCTTGTTTTTATATGAATTTTTGTTGTTTCACAACTTCTTTGCTAAGTTATCTTGTAAAAGAAGTATGATATAGCTTACAGACTATACATGTTACTGACAAAGAAACTGATAACAATATTAATTAGTAATCAGAAAGTAAAGTTTTAAACATTTTACATACTAACATAATCATTTAGTACTTACACATATTTATTTTGCTATGTTTTAGTTGTGTTTTAGAATACTAGTTTGTGATTTTTAGTTGATGTGATGCAATATAATTTTTCTCTTTAAAAGTGATTGAAAATAGACTTCAAATTAGTAAATATATTAGTAAAATTAAGTATAACAATGCCTGTATTCTTTATTAAAATTCAAATTAACAAAAATATAATAAAAATTATTAAATGTTACATGCAATCAAATTTATTTAACACTCAGTTTTTGTTATTATAGAAGCTATTTTGTTGTTATTTAATAAATTTTATTAAAAATACTATTCAAGAATGAAAAAAATGCATTTTGTTAGCAAATAACCTAAATAAAAGTAATGAAAAATTGTATACATTATGTTTACTGAAAAATTTTTGTCCTGAAGAAACCTGAAAATCATGACACTATATTTTTAAAGACACTGTGGTATTGTATCCATTTTGTGTAGGTATTTTTCTATAATCCTGAAGACTGAATAAGGAGACAAAAATAAATGATCTGTCACAAGGAACACAAGTTCAATACTTATTTTTGTCCCTTTTTTGTTAGTTGGTGCAAGAATTTAGTCACCATCATTATCAAAGTAAGGTTCTTACTTACATTAGCACAATCATCCACACAACCAAATCGTTTTGGCTGTGGTTGATGATTGAATGGGAGCTTGTGATTCATTGAAATGCATTTGGCTGGGTTTGAAACATAATGGCTGTGGATTTGTCTGATCTTGAAATTAATCTCCAATTTTAATCTCTTTTTTCTATGCTGTCCGATTGGTTTAAAACTTATCACAGTCATCATTGAATAGAAAATAAAAAAAATACATCAGCTAGCACTTATCTAATTTTTAAAATTACAAACTTGACTGTTTTTGAAACTATACATTTCATATAATACAAAACTGTGTGTTTAAATGGCATTATCTTATAATCAAGATGGGTTGATAATAATGATGATGATGATGATGATAATAAGCACAGAGTCCAAACTGTTAGGAGTTGAAAGTTAAAATTTGGTGCACAGTTAGGGTACATCACGAGAATGTACACTAAGAACAGATTTTTCAAAATCCTCCCCTGTGGGGGAGAGGGAGAGGATTAAGTCTTATCCTAAAAAACCCAGCTTATACTGTATTATTTTAGATGCAATTTTTTTATTTTTAACTGTGTTTTAGTAGGATACACGATGAGAATGCACCCTAATAAGAAATTTTTGGAAATCACCCTGCAGGGGAGAGGTAGTGGGTTAAGGATTACCTTAAAGAACTCAGCTTCTATTGTACTATTTTAAATGTGGTTTTTTGCAGTTTTGACTGCATTTCAGTGGGGTATGTCATGAGAATGCACATTAAGAAGGTTTTGGAAATTCCACCCCCCTCGAGGGAAGAGGAAGATAGAGTTAGTTTCAGTCATTATAAAGTGTAAGTAATAAAGAAGGAAAGTAAATAGTGGCACATATAGTATACATTTTGGCAATTAATAAATATTTCAATCATTTCCACTTTTCGGGTAACTCAAAAACAATATATCTAAAATAAATGAATTTGAACAAATATTCAAATTCATTTCAAATTCCAAAAATTCAAAATATAATGTTCCACACAAGTATTTTTGATTTTAAAATTTAAAATTAATCATTTTATTCAAGGTTATCATCAAGTAAGTTAATTCTCCATTATAATGAAAAATTTTCTGATTTTTATTTTTTATAGAATAAAAATCATTTTTATTTAAAATGATTTTTTAGGTTACTTAAATAAAAAATCATTTTAAATACTAAGAACTTATTCAGATAAAATTCAATAATGATTTAAATTTTTTTTTTCTATTAGGTATCCGATAAATAGAATAGTGAAAACGAAATTTCTCATAAATTTGATCCTAATCTTATAATAGAGATGGGTTGATGATAATACTATTTTCAGGAATATAAAGATTTATATGTTAAGAAATTTGGATAGTTCAAAATACGGCTACTTCAAAATTTAAAGAAAAAATTCTGTCTGAACCTTAATATGAGTATGTTAATTTGTTCATTTATATTAAAATGTCTCCATACTATAAGAGAACAATAGACCAAAAACAACTCTAATCTGGTCAATATGGCTTTTCTTTTACAGTAATACATTTTTGAGTGTCACCTTACCCATGGACTACCCTTTTTTCTCTTTTCTCATAAAATACATCTGGGTTGCAGGATTGCAATATTGAGCTAAAAGTAGCAAATTGAGATATTTTTAGGGGTCTAGGCTACTACATTTGGGCAACTTACTACTTTTTGGGGCACTTTAAAAATAATTTGGGCTACAGTTCAAGAAATTCTGCTTTACTTTTTATAAAACCTATCTGGTAACCTGTGAGGTTCTCACTGGACTGTGCTGTTTACCTGCAGTTTATTTGTATTATTATTATCGTTAATTATTAATTAACAAAAATAACATTTTGTATATGTAGCTGTGTTTCATTTGCTTAAAAAAAAAATACATCAGTTACATGGCATTTGGCATATTGCACAGAAATATGTATATCTCAAATAATTTGAAACTTGATAATTCAAAGTCACAATTATTTCATCCCATGAATTTTGAATTAACGAGGATTTCCTGTATAGACATTTTGAAAAGCATGCTTTCTTGACCTTCTATAAGCTTATATAGTCTTCAGCTCACTTGGTGATTAACAGTTCATTACATAAAATTATCTTGTTTTTATATGAATTTTTGTTGTTTCACAACTTCTTTGCTAAGTTATCTTGTAAAAGAAGTATGATATAGCTTACAGACTATACATGTTACTGACAAAGAAACTGATAACAATATTAATTAGTAATCAGAAAGTAAAGTTTTAAACATTTTACATACTAACATAATCATTTAGTACTTACACATATTTATTTTGCTATGTTTTAGTTGTGTTTTAGAATACTAGTTTGTGATTTTTAGTTGATGTGATGCAATATAATTTTTCTCTTTAAAAGTGATTGAAAATAGACTTCAAATTAGTAAATATATTAGTAAAATTAAGTATAACAATGCCTGTATTCTTTATTAAAATTCAAATTAACAAAAATATAATAAAAATTATTAAATGTTACATGCAATCAAATTTATTTAACACTCAGTTTTTGTTATTATAGAAGCTATACTTCATAGTTGATAAATCTCTAACTATTTTTTTTCTATTTTAATGCATTGGAAATGATTAAGATCAAGAATTTAATTTATATAGTTTAATTTTTGATATTTATTACTTAAATACTAATTTGTACTAAATCTAAAATAATATTTTAAAATATCATTAAACTTTAGAAATCACATCAAACAGACAGAATTAATAAAGCAAGTAATAGATAACAATTTGGTATTTTTTTCACTAGTTCAATTACAATAACTAAAATTAACTTTTTATGCATAAAATTACCTAAGTAATAGGTAAAAATCCTTAAGAAATATTATTTGATTTATTTGATTCGAACCTAAGTGATAATCAAAAAACAATAATAGATTTATTATTTTAATTAATTAATTATTATTTGTTTACTTCTACTTTTACTGAAGCCAATGGTAACAATATTATTATTTTAAAATAATAATATTGTTATAATTAAAAATCATATGAATTGATTTTTAATCATATCAATTATATTGTGTGAGGTTTTATTTCTAATTACTTTCAAATATATTACAAAATTATAATAACTTTTGCTTAATTGCATTAAAAACATTTTAAACGAAATGTAGAATGAATTACTTTAACTATTGTATTATTTATATATTGTAGCTTTAAAAAATATTATAATGTTAGCAATAACAGATCCAGAAATCTTTAGAAAGGTTATAGAGAGGAAACAATGTCTTACAAAATTCTTTTACTACCTGAAATACCTGGCATTACTCAAGAAAAACTCCCAGGAGGTACAGCAGCACTTGAAGATCCCATAAATCCACCCCTGATCCCCTGATCATTAGTATAATAAGAATGTTTAGTTAAAATATTTATATTTTATTTTCAATATGATATTATAGTAACACTAGAAAGTAGATCATTGTCTTCCTTTGTTATGCTGATAAATTATTTTCAACTAATTTTTATTAAAAATTTTGTAAATATTGTTTACAAAATCTTCAAAATAAATTGTTCTTTGTTTCTAATTATTAAAATTAACACAAGATGGTGGCTTAACAGCCTACCTCTAGCCAAATTACTTAACTGTACTTTAAAATATATTATCTTCTCAAAACTTATCAAAATCACAATAATAAAAAATAATTATTCAAGTTCAGTTTACAAATTTTTGTAATTTACTTACCTAGCAGATGTACCAAACACTAAATTACTTATTAATGCACGACTTTTTGTAATGATATTTTCAGATTTTGTACTAACAAAGCATAGCATTGCCCCATTACTATGAGCAACAAACCTAAGACATCGAGATATCACTTTTTTCTTTTCTGGATCCATATTCTGACATAAATAAATATTAAATTTTAATAAAAATATGCAAAAAGTAATCTCATTTATAACAGTTATAAAATTTCTTTTATTTACTAACCTGAAATATATCATATTTAGATCCAAATATTACTAAAGGAAGTGGAAAAGGGTTTATTTTATCTTTATCCTGAAATAAGAATATTTTAAATTATAATAATTCTAAGACATTTAAAAATATTTTAAACTGAAAGTAAAAATATTTTATTTCCAGTTTATTTTCATTTGGGCCTTCCTTAATGAGATATAAGAACTTAAAATTTTATAATCTACAGTAGAGCATTGATTAGCTGACTCAATTGGGGACTAGGGTTGGTCAGATAACTGAAAAAAACGAATAACCAAAAAATATGAAAAAATACTTTACAGCATCAAATATAAAAATTTAGTGCGTTGGAAGTCTATATAACAATTCTCTCAAATGACTCTCATTAGAGATACTACAGATGTTGAATACAGGTGACAAACCAAAAGATAGTGCATTTAACATAGGAAGAATAAAGTAAGTTTACATTTACATTTATCTTGAAAACAGTAACTTATCATTAATTTTATTATTATTTACATGTTCAGCACCCCAAAATCGACAAGAAATAGCATCACATATAAAGGATATACAACTTATGATAATTTGTTTATTATTATTAATACATAATACACGAAGGGTCTACTTGTGATGACTGTTGATTGTGGACGTAAGATGCATCTGTAGTTTTGACAAGTAGAATAAGGGGGAAAAAATGCATATAAATTGTCATGTATGGTAATAACTAATCAAAATCGAATTCATACTGTGTTGGGTTATGAAAGAGAGAGCCTTCTTGAATAGTAAATCTGTAAAAGTATAATAAATCTTTCAGTATTTTAAATAGATAAAAGTTAAATTGCATTGTAAATATAGAACATGTAAAGTGTATATACAGTAGAGCATCGATTATCCGACCCCCGATCAACTGTCACATCGGTTAACCGATCGCATTCTAGTCAGCAAATTCAAATGTCTGCTAGTGAGGTGGTGCTAAAATATTTGGCTATGTCTTGACTACTTTAATATTATTTTTGTTAAATTTTTGTGTGTTTTAGCTGGCAACACTGGCTTGACCATGAAAGGGAGGCGAGTATTTAAACATGGCTTAATTTTCTAATTATGAGTGGTTGTTTGTTTTGTGTGGATTTTTCTGAGGACTATGTGTCGTGCTGAATCAGAATCTGTTTTCATCGGATATATAAATTTTGGACTTCTTTTTCTAATGTAAAGGCCTACTTTATGTAAAATATGTAACCTGAATACTGTATATATATATTTTTTTTATATTGTTCAATATACAATACAGTACTGTATTTATTTTGTGCAAAATAAAGAAATAATTTTTAACAATACAATAGTGACGATTATTATTTCAAAAAAATTTTGTTGGGCTTAACATCGAAGAAAATTCAGCACGAAGTAGGTTAATAGCAATATACTAATATACTAATTACATGCGATATACTAATATACTATACTAATACAGGTATACCTTAAGTTACGTTGTTACGTCGTTTGCCAAAAAATATATGGAAAGATAAAAATCAAGTTTAAGTCATTTTATTCGACTTTACGTCCGTCCACCACAAATATTGAAGTCGTAATATCACTATAAAAGCGATAAAGCACATAAAATCATATTAAAATATATACGTTTATAGTAAATGTTAATATAATCGTCATAAATCCTAGAGAACGAAACACAAAAACATTTGTGTTTCTGTCTTGTCATCTTATTTAGTGGTCTTTAAGTGCTTAATATTGGTGTTTTCCACAATAGCTCCAATATCTACCGTTTGGTGTTGTTGTCAGCACCACTTGATATTGGTAAATTTAATATAAATTAGTTTATTTTCTACTGTCACAAGATAATTTTAATAACTGTATTTGTTATTTAACCTTACAAAATCATCTTATTTTATAATGTCTTAGAGCAAACCACATTCACAAATTGCAAACATGTACATTTACAAGTATGTACTGTATGTACACAAATTTGTAAATTTAGATTACTTTTTTCTGTACTATATTAAAAATTAAAATTTATTTGTTTGTAAGCTTAAAATAGATTCTTATTAACCATATATTATTAAAACTTCATTTATAAATAAAATACAAAACTGAGAATGGTTATTTGCGGTTTAGCCTAGTGACAAGTAAATTTGACTTACGCCGTTTTTCGACTTAAGTCACCTCTCCTGGAACCAATTACCGACGTAAGGTATACTGATAGGCAAGGTATACCTGTAATGTAATTTTTCATACTTTTTGGTTATTCGTTTTTTTCAGTTATCTGACCAACCCCAGTCCCCAATTGAGTCAGCTAATCAATGCTCTACTGTAGATTATAAAATTTTAAGTTCTTATATCTCATTAAGGAAGGCCCAAATGAAAATAAACTGGAAATAAAATATTTTTACTTTCAGTTTAAAATATTTTTAAATNACTTAAAATTTTATAATCTACAGTAGAGCATTGATTAGCTGACTCAATTGGGGACTAGGGTTGGTCAGATAACTGAAAAAAACGAATAACCAAAAAATATGAAAAAATACTTTACAGCATCAAATATAAAAATTTAGTGCGTTGGAAGTCTATATAACAATTCTCTCAAATGACTCTCATTAGAGATACTACAGATGTTGAATACAGGTGACAAACCAAAAGATAGTGCATTTAACATAGGAAGAATAAAGTAAGTTTACATTTACATTTATCTTGAAAACAGTAACTTATCATTAATTTTATTATTATTTACATGTTCAGCACCCCAAAATCGACAAGAAATAGCATCACATATAAAGGATATACAACTTATGATAATTTGTTTATTATTATTAATACATAATACACGAAGGGTCTACTTGTGATGACTGTTGATTGTGGACGTAAGATGCATCTGTAGTTTTGACAAGTAGAATAAGGGGGAAAAAATGCATATAAATTGTCATGTATGGTAATAACTAATCAAAATCGAATTCATACTGTGTTGGGTTATGAAAGAGAGAGCCTTCTTGAATAGTAAATCTGTAAAAGTATAATAAATCTTTCAGTATTTTAAATAGATAAAAGTTAAATTGCATTGTAAATATAGAACATGTAAAGTGTATATACAGTAGAGCATCGATTATCCGACCCCCGATCAACTGTCACATCGGTTAACCGATCGCATTCTAGTCAGCAAATTCAAATGTCTGCTAGTGAGGTGGTGCTAAAATATTTGGCTATGTCTTGACTACTTTAATATTATTTTTGTTAAATTTTTGTGTGTTTTAGCTGGCAACACTGGCTTGACCATGAAAGGGAGGCGAGTATTTAAACATGGCTTAATTTTCTAATTATGAGTGGTTGTTTGTTTTGTGTGGATTTTTCTGAGGACTATGTGTCGTGCTGAATCAGAATCTGTTTTCATCGGATATATAAATTTTGGACTTCTTTTTCTAATGTAAAGGCCTACTTTATGTAAAATATGTAACCTGAATACTGTATATATATATTTTTTTTATATTGTTCAATATACAATACAGTACTGTATTTATTTTGTGCAAAATAAAGAAATAATTTTTAACAATACAATAGTGACGATTATTATTTCAAAAAAATTTTGTTGGGCTTAACATCGAAGAAAATTCAGCACGAAGTAGGTTAATAGCAATATACTAATATACTAATTACATGCGATATACTAATATACTATACTAATACAGGTATACCTTAAGTTACGTTGTTACGTCGTTTGCCAAAAAATATATGGAAAGATAAAAATCAAGTTTAAGTCATTTTATTCGACTTTACGTCCGTCCACCACAAATATTGAAGTCGTAATATCACTATAAAAGCGATAAAGCACATAAAATCATATTAAAATATATACGTTTATAGTAAATGTTAATATAATCGTCATAAATCCTAGAGAACGAAACACAAAAACATTTGTGTTTCTGTCTTGTCATCTTATTTAGTGGTCTTTAAGTGCTTAATATTGGTGTTTTCCACAATAGCTCCAATATCTACCGTTTGGTGTTGTTGTCAGCACCACTTGATATTGGTAAATTTAATATAAATTAGTTTATTTTCTACTGTCACAAGATAATTTTAATAACTGTATTTGTTATTTAACCTTACAAAATCATCTTATTTTATAATGTCTTAGAGCAAACCACATTCACAAATTGCAAACATGTACATTTACAAGTATGTACTGTATGTACACAAATTTGTAAATTTAGATTACTTTTTTCTGTACTATATTAAAAATTAAAATTTATTTGTTTGTAAGCTTAAAATAGATTCTTATTAACCATATATTATTAAAACTTCATTTATAAATAAAATACAAAACTGAGAATGGTTATTTGCGGTTTAGCCTAGTGACAAGTAAATTTGACTTACGCCGTTTTTCGACTTAAGTCACCTCTCCTGGAACCAATTACCGACGTAAGGTATACTGATAGGCAAGGTATACCTGTAATGTAATTTTTCATACTTTTTGGTTATTCGTTTTTTTCAGTTATCTGACCAACCCCAGTCCCCAATTGAGTCAGCTAATCAATGCTCTACTGTAGATTATAAAATTTTAAGTTCTTATATCTCATTAAGGAAGGCCCAAATGAAAATAAACTGGAAATAAAATATTTTTACTTTCAGTTTAAAATATTTTTAAATATCTTAGAATTATTATGGAGTTAATATGATTGCAAGTGTAGGTCTTAAAATGTTTCACAAATCTGCAATATTCCTCAAATAAAATACAATCATTTAAAGACTGCATGCTGCTTATTAGTCATATTTGGAATCATATATAGTTGCAAATCATTATATGCAACTATGAACTTTTTAAGTCTAAGTATCATTCACAGTTAACAAATCAACATCTACAGGAATTAATATGGAGTGGAATTACTGAACATGGTCTGAATTTTAAACAGTTAGCATTCCAACTTCAAAGCTGCAAATCTTCTACCAGTAAGTAATGAAAGAGAAACATTTACAAATATTTAGACCAAGAAAAAAAAATTAATTTACAATAAATCGATTTTCTTGAAATTTTTTTAGCCAGTTTTACATACCTACTGAAACATGCATAGTCTTAACCTAATAGCGATAACTATAGTATTTTAACTACAGTAGAGCATCGATTATCCAAAACAATTTGGGAATGGGGTTGTTCGGATAACTGATCATGTATGAAAAAATATATTAACCTATCCCATTGAAATTTTTCTCCATTGCACATCACTGCATTGGATTTTCATCGATGCTAAGCCTAACAAATTTTTTTTAAAAATAATAATCGTGGCTATTGTATTGTTAAAAATTATTTCTTTATTTTGCACTAAAAAATATAAAAACAAAGAAATTATATTTCAGAAATTAATCTAGTATCAAAAACGTTCCGATTCAGTATGACACACGTCCCAACACACAGTTCTCAGAAAAATGTCACACAAAACAAGCAAAACTCTTTTTCTTGGGTTTATCTGGAGATGTCAGCCACTTGGGCTATATTCTCTGATGAGCTGAAGCAAAACACACTGCTCACGATGCAAGGTCCTAGAATATAGCTCACAAAGGGGGGGGAAAGCCTCATTCAAATACTGGCACGTCCTTAAGTACGTATGAATCAGAACATTTTTTATACTAGATTAACTTCCGAAATATAATTTTTTTGTTTTTATATTTTTCAATATATTTATTTTGTTTGTGCAGAATAAAGAAATAATTTTTAATGATACAATATGGATGCACCAGTGCTGCCAGCTAAAACACACACACCAATAAAATAATATTGGAGTAGCCCAAGACAGCAAATATTGCAGTGCCACAGCAATAGCAGAAATTCGAATTTGCCGAATGGAACACTTTCAGTTAACTGATGTTTCGGTTGATCAGTATTTGGATAATTGATGATCTACTGTATATATAATGTAAAATACCATTTCCAATTCAGCTATCTTGTATTTCTGATAGGCGATATAGTGCTCCTATCATGACAAGATTCAGCCACCCCTGGTATATACAAAGAAAAAGTATGGAAATTGAACTGCAGACCTGTTTCATGGTTTTTGTATTATTTTTCTAACTTGTTACTTAACTAAACAAAACTATTTAAAAATCTCCCACTCCATAAAAACAAATTTAAAAATTTGATTTTAAACTCATGATATGTTTTAGAACCAAAGGAATATGATGTAAACTTAGAGTCAAATAGATAATTTTACAAAAACAATTTAAATAGTGGTGAATGGAAACCCTGATTATTACTAAATAACAAAATTTTCATACCTCATGATTTTCTCCAATTCTTTTCCAAGCTTTATCAATTAGAATCTGTTTTAATTCTTTAGATTTTGCAGCATGAAGGTTTAACACATCTTTAATTCTGTCTGTACAAACTTGCAATAAAGTTTCCATTGTAAACCATAATTCTTCTGGTACTGAAAGATCTAGTACAATAGCAACTGACAATGACCTAAAATTTATAAAAGATAGACATATTAAACTTATTTAATATAAGTTCATTTCATAAAAAAGAAATTATGTAGTAATAATAGAAAATATTCATAATTAAAATGAATCTATTCTGATGATGATTCTGCATAAATAAACATTTTTTGAAATATAATCAATGTTTAATCTGATAAAAAAAATCATTGAAGTAGAATGCAAATTTCTTCTTGAGAAACCACACTTTAATAAAAAATTATGAAGCAGTGGCAAAAATTAGTGATCTCTCTCAAAACTTTGTTAAATATTCTAATTTATCTAAAATGACACAAAAATTTTACTATCATTTGCAATATTGTACTTGTGTGAAGCAAGAATTTTGGCTATAGCTTTTATACAATTGAAATATCAATCTCAGCTAATAGTTGAAAAAGAACTTTAAGTAACATCATCATTAATAAAAATTATAAAGGCTTCAAATGCCCTCATTATTAAAGACATCATATTTTGACAATTTTATAATGAAAAATAACTTCCATCTGTCATATTAGCATTTTTTTCATTGTTAAGCATTTTTGTAACATACCAATGCTCATTCATATTTATGTTATGTTATATAAATTATAGTGCGCTTTTTAAATATAAATTTGCATTACTTTATGAATAAACAGGGAACAATGAAGAGAAGATTTGTATTTTCCATCTATCAGCCATTCACAAAGCTTTATAAACTTCACATCATGATGCTTAAGTATAAGCTAAATTATAAGAAAATACAGTGGAACCTTGGTATATGACCTTAATCTGTTCCTGATATTTGGACTTATACCGAATTGGACATATACCAAACCAACCTTTCCCATAAGAAGTAATGTAAAAATGATTAATGCGTTCTCACGTAAAAAAAAAAAATAGCTGGCTTTAAACACCTTGCTTTCCTGGCTAGTTCCTGCTTGATTTTTCATGAGATCAGCATGTATCTTTTTAGCTTTCTCACAAATAATTGCTTCTGATACGATGTCGCCAGCACATTGTTTTTCAGTTACCCAAAGCAAAAGCAATTTCTCAACATGATCTAATGCCTTCGATCTCTGTTTAGAAATTGATTTACCCCCTTTCACATACAGGACATTCCCATTTTCAATGCTGACTCAGCGCTGATCTCAACATTCGTTAAAATTCGTTCCTTTTTTCAACGTTGAGGTAGCGCTGTTGTCAGCGCTGACTCAACACACTCAGCACTCAACAGACATGTTGACTGCTACTTTCCAATGAATTGTGGGTAATTGGTAAGACATGTGAATGGAATCCATCTTGCTGAGAATGGAATTATGGGAACTAAGCATTTCATACTCGAGTTGGAACGTCGTTGATGACGTCAAATTGTTGACTTCAACACTCAACACTCGTGTTGAAAATTGGAATGTCCCGAATGTTAGCATATTTAATAATGTCTTTATTTTTCACGATTGTCGATATCGTCATTCTCGGAATACGGTATGCAACAGTTAAAATCTTGAACACGTGTGCCACCTTCATATTTCTCAACAATCTTTTATCAGTTCCATTGTGATTCTAGTCATTTTTTTAGTTTTCTGTTGCTTTTCATTTGCCTTTTTGCAATTCATGATTCATAAAAATAATAAAATTTTACATACAAATTAAAACCAAAAGAAATTTAACCAAGTTAAAAACCATTGCACCGTGAACATCTAGTCTGGTCTAGTACACCGATAGTGCTACTTGTTCATAGATGGCACGTATAATTGAATTAAGTCATATACCAAACAAAATTTGTTTCATCCAAACAGGACGTATTCCAAATTGGATGTATTCTAAAGCAGACGTATACTGAGGCACCACTGTATTTGATACGAAGTCTTAAAAGATTAACAAAAAAATGGTTGAGGAAATTTCAACTTATCTCTTAAAATTATAACAACAAAATGTGTTTATTTTACTTAAAATCTTATAGGCATGGCTTTAATTTTCATTATTTTTTGCCAGTTTTATTCATATAATTTTGGTTAATTTTATTCCTTTGTTTTGTAGTTAAATTTTATTTAGATTAATCTTAAATAATGTTTTAATATTTCTGCTTGAACTTAAACTGTTTAACATTCCATTGCAAAAATTTCTGTAACTGAACAATGCCATAATATTTTATGATGAAAATCATAATTATCTTAATCATGATTACAATAAACAAACTAAGATAAATTACAGTTAAAGTATATAATTCTACCTGCACCAATAAATAAGCAAATATGATATTTATAAGTTAGTACATGATGAATAATGTTGCTCTCCAATCACCATCTACACCTATCTGTGTCAGATAGGTCTAAATGATGACCTCAATGTTCCTCTAGCTTAAACTTGCCAAAATCAGTACTAAGTCTCATTTGCAAAGGTGAACTCATTCAGGCACTCCATCAAATACAATTTTCACATAGACTTTTTTAGATATGAACAATTATAGCATGGTTCAAATGACTGAATTATTTTTGGTCTCAGGTGTATTTTTACTCACTTCAATGCTGAAAAACAAAACCCCTTTCTGACACTGCATTTGTAGTGAGTGAAACTACAGTAGAGCATCGATTATCCGACCCCTGATTAACCGTCACATCGGTTAACAGACTGTTCTAGTCGGCAAATTTCAAATGTCCGCTAGTGATGTGGCATTACAATATTTGGCTATGTCTTGGCTACTTTAATATTATTTTTGTTAAATTTTTGCATGTTTTAGCTGGCATCAATGGCTCGACCATGGAAGGGAGGGCAGTATTTAAATGAGACTTAATTTTCTAATTATGAGTGGTTGTTTGTTTCGTGAGCAATAAAACAATTTAGAAATAATTTTTAATGATACAATAGCAACGATTATTATTTTTAAAAAAAAATTTGTTAGGCTAAACATCAATGAAAATTCAACGCGAAGTTGGTTAATAGCGATATACTAATAAACTAATTACATGGGATATAGTAATATCCCAATATACTATACTAATAATGTATTTTTTTCCTTATTTTCGGTTATCCGATTTTTCAGTTATCCGACCAACCTGAGTCCCCAATTGAGTCGGATAATCGATGCTCTACTGTAGAAGTATTTAATACAGCCTTGTCATCTCAGAAATTGCAGATTCTCTAATTGAATCAAAGATTGTGAACACATCTTGAAGTATCTGAAATGTTACAGACTGCTTGTGAATATGAAAAATGACTGAAACATTTCAAAACAGACAAATTTCCATAAAATTGCACCATAGGTCCAACTCTTCTGCATAATCTGTACCAGCACTCACTTTCAAACAAGAAAATTGGATGACTGGGATTATCTGATTTCAAAAAAAGGTCAAATACTTCAATTGTATTTTAACTTATAAATATTTTAATGGCATAATACCCAATTATTGGCTCAAACTGAAAGTTCCTTCCAGAAAAACTCTATCATGATCATGTCCAAATACTTTTATCAATTATTGCTATCTCATAGATCTTTTTCATTGTTCCATTGATTACAGTTCTCCTGTTGAACATCACTTTCATCACAACTTTACAAAATACAAACAACTATGCCAACAATTTTTATATAGTGTATGATTTTGTTTTATCCTTATACATTTTGCCATCCCTTTTTTTCTTTTATTTTTTTATATATTTCTTGTTATTATATAATTTTTATTGTATTTATTTTTGCTGTTATTTTTACTTATATTTTACTGTAATCTTGGGTAATTTTGTTATATGGGGGTGGAAATTTTTTGTTCATCAACAGTTCCAATTAAATGTAAAATAAATAAATAAATTTCACCTGTAACTATACTTGGTAGTCAATTTGTTGAAACTGTGATGTTATGCACCCAATAGCCAGGCCAATTACTTCAAAATAGCATCACCTGGAGTACTCTTCAAAGATAATATCTGAATCATGATAATTACAATCACTACTATCATAGAGTTTCCTTGGAATTTTTCTGTTAGTATATTACATCTGCTTAATAATTACTATTCAGATCATATACCATTTTTTAAAAAAGTTCATCACAAATTAATAAACAAATTTATTTTAGATTTAAATCTCAAGAAATTTATAGTCATCTCTAACAAATTTTTATACAGGTGGACAAAAAGGCCATAAAAACTTTAAATTTGATAAGAAATATAATAGAATGTAATGCAGTTTACGTGGTAAGTATTGTCAGCATGGAAGTTTTTGTTGATAGGGAAAAAAACTAATTCCAAAAATCACTGATAGGTGGTGTTGACACATAAAAGATGACAAGTAGATGTGCAAATGATAACGAAAATAATTTTCAATGTGATTTCTGATTGTAGGGGGTGTTTAAATTCCCGAGTGTTTCAATCAAGTCCTTCCACATTGCTGGGATTGAAAAATGCTATTCACTGTGAGGTATGTGATCATCATCCATCTGGATATGCTGCACTCTGAAAGTGTGGATGTTGTTACTCTGCTAAATTTGGTTATATCCTATGGTGGAGGCATGTTGAACACTTTTCTAATAAATAAATACACTGAAAGTCATTTTTATTGTTGTTTGCATTACTCTTTTATGTCAATGTCACCTATCAGTGATTTTTGAAACTAATTTTTTCCCATTAACAAAAAAACTTTAAGCATTTTTATGAATGCTTCAAGTTTTTATGGACTTTTTGTCTACCCTGTATAATAATGCTAATACATAACACTTTCTTAATTTTATTGAGAGATAAATATAAAATTAATGACAAAATGAAAATATATTTATTAACTTATGACAAAAACGTTTAAAACAAATACTAATATACAATGGCACCTTGGTACTTGAACTTAATTTGTTCCATAAGACTGAGTGCCAATCTGTTCAAGTACTGAACAAATTTTTTCCATAGAGACTAGTAAATTAGTTTAATTTATTCTAGACGTCCCAAAAAACTTATAAAAGCATTTTGCATTTTAATTAGAATTCAACACAAATTTAATAATTAGTTTTCAAGCCTAGTATGTATAAATCATTAAAAATAAAATACCCATATGCAATTTAGAGTAGTAAAATACACTTATTAATTTTATTGGGTAAAACAGAAAGTTTTTGAGTACTTTTAACAGCTGTTCTTAATTAACACTGATGTGTAATTTAATTATAACAGATGTGAAACACCTTATTGCTAATGTGAGACACTATTTTTTGTTTAGAAGCTTATTTTGAACTATTTACTTCACAGTTTGTTTGAGTAAAATCAAGTCAAAATGTCTACAGATAAAATGCATATTCAGCATATTATGCTTTTGAGTTTTTGAAAAAATGTAACACTCTAATCTTTGTAATACTTTATATCTTTATTTTATACTTTATAAATGTAATACAGTACAGTGTCGATTATCCGAATCAATTAGGGACTGGGGTCGTTCGAAAGATCGATGTTTCGGATAACCGATTATGTACGAAAAAATATATTAATTTATCACATCTTGACATTTTTCTCCATTGCATGTCACTTCGCGTTGAATTTTCATCGATGTTAAGCCTAATGTAAACTTTTTAAAATAATAATCAGGGCTATTGTATCATTAAAAATTATTTCTTTATTTTATACAAACAAAATAAATATATTGAAAAATATAAAAACAATAAAAAATTATACTTCAGAAGTTAATTTAGTATCAAAAACATAAAATATTTGAGTAGCCCAAGACATAGCCAAAGATTGCAGTGCCAAAGCATTGGCGAAAATTTAAATTTGCTGACTGGAATTCTTTCGGATGATTGACGTTTCGGATGATTGACTTTCGGATAATCAACGCTCTACTGTACTTTAATCTAAAATTATTTAATTAAATTATAATTATTAAATTTATTACAAGATGATGTCTAATGCCTCCCTCTAGGGACAAATTGTTTGGTAATTTATTATTAATACGGTCATTATATAGCTTAATGGCATACAGCAATGGTTGGCTTTATTGTTAATATATTGGGCTTTAGTAGAGTTGTTTGTTTAAATGTAATACTCAACAAACTGTAAAAAATATTCATAAAATGTATGGAAAAGATGCTCCTAAACTTCAAACATGTCAAATGTGATTTTAAAAGTTTCATTACGAAAATTTTAAACTAAAGGTTATACAACTGAAGGACACTCAAAAGCTCTCAAAGGAAAAAAAACTGCAGAAAGAAATTGCTAAAAACCAATGAATAAAAACTTGTGAACTTGCAACAAATCTTAATGTATCACAGACATGTATTGTTGAAACACTGTTGACTTGGAATGGTTGCAAAACATGATAATTGGGTTATGCACTCATTAAGTGAAAAAGCAAACTAAATCAATTATAAATAAAATAAATTAAAACGTGGCCGACATAATTAAACATTTAATAAATGTAGAATACAGAGCATTCATAAAGGATAAAACCTTTATCATTGCCTTTTCCTTCCCATCGTCATACACCATCAGTAGTTCAATGAAAAATTACAAAAAATTATGGAGACGGTCTTCCTTTATAGGCTACTGCCTCCGCAACAAACATGCAAAAGTGGTAAAACATCCTATGGTATTTTGCCACTACCACAATAATATTGTAAATAAAATAAATTAAATGATGGGAAGGAAAAGGCAACAATAAAAGTTTTATCCTTTATGAATGCTCCGTATTCTACATTTATTAAATGTTTAATTACGTCGGCCAAATTTTAATCTATTTTATTTACAATATTATTGTGATAGAGGCAAAACACCAGAGGATGTTTTACCATTTTTGCATGTTTGTTGCAGAGGCAGTAGCCTATAAAGGAAGGTCATCTCCATAATTTTTTGTAATTTTTTGATGGTCTACTGATGGTGTGCAACAACGGGAAGGAAAAGGCAATGATAAAGGTTTTATCCTTTATGAATGCTCCTTATTCTACATTTATTAAATCAATTATAATTTTGTCTGATGAAGATAGGGAACTGTAGGGTTTCATTTTTTTAAAATTAGTTACTCATTTTCGCTGTAGAAAATTTTTATGGACAACAAAATTAAAGTTAAAATAAAAATATTTATTATTAGTTAGTTCTAGCAGTTTATGTTTGTTTAGTCAAGTACTGAGCAATTTTTTTCCCAAACATGTTCATATACCAAATTGTTCAAGTTCAGAGCAGTTTGTGTACTGAGGTACCACTGTATTTATTAATATCATGTTTGAATAACAAATTATAATTTTTCATATATTTTTGCAAAATGATTTTTAATGTAAGATAATAAGCTAGAAGTAGAAATAAAAATTTCTACTTTTGTATTAAATATCTTTTTAATCAGACTATTATAGACACTTTTTCATTCTTTAAATCTATATAATCTATAATAAATCTATATAAATCTATACTCAAAATTTACTTAATGCAATATAAGAAAATTGTATTATTTAAACTTACAATAAATTTTCTGTTGTAATAGAAATTTCTAATAAATTTGTAAATAATAATCCACCTCCAAGTTCCCATATATGACACACTTCTTTTGCCTATTTTAATATAAATAATACTATTTATATAATATATTTTCTTCTAAAATGCATTTATTTAAAATTAGAAAAATAATTTATAAAAATTAAAATTTTTTAGATAAATTCAAATAATGTGTTGAAAATAAATAGAAATACTATTATAATATGTATTAAAAAGATAATAAAAATCCTTATTATGATTCAAAAATCTTTATATATCATCAAGTAAATCAATGAATGTGCTGTAAATCCATGATTATTTATAACCTGTTATTAAACAAACAAAAAAAAAAAACATTGTCACTTCTTCAGTCTAATATGGTAATAATTATTATGAAAAAAAAAAATACTGTTCTTTTTCATAAAAGAAGGCATGAGATAAATCATCAAACAGAATTACAACAATTATAATGTGTGTATTGAAATATATATTTTCTTGAAAGCAGCAAAAACATTGTATATTAGTCAACAAAAACCAGTAAACAGACTTACTTCTAGCATTCAATGCAAATTGTAATTTTTTGGAGATCAGAACTCTATCATCATTGTCATCTTGGATAGAAAGCAGAAATACAATAATTATGCCATGTAATCCAAGAACTTTTAGGAAAGTAATGAGGGTCTTGTATAATGATCAACGAAGACTGGCAAACAGACATAATAATTCTAGTAAGTAATCCAAAGCATAAATTTTCAGGAAGGAATTCATAATTTAGTTTTCTTGCTAAACTGTTTTCACAGCCTTCTTAAAAGTGACAAAATCATTGCTTCTCTTGACCTTGTTTTTATTAGTACAGATTCTATGTCAAAAGCCATCATCTTAATGGAAAACTATTTTGGAACAATGTTTGCTCATTATTAAAATCTACCAATGGGACTAATTGTCATATCTTTAAAATTATAGAAATGACACATATAACTCCCTAAAAGACAATAATATTGACTGATAAAATAGCAATAAAGATGAAATTAAAATTGCAATGTTGTAATTGACAATACCAAAAACTTTTAGATTTGTTTTTTCATTGTATTTTCAAGTATCAAACATCAGATTTAAATATTTTGGATCTTGCATCTAAACATCTCATATTATAAAGAAATATTTAAGATTAAACACTCTTTATTGATTTTTGATGACTATCTAAACTTAGGTTATTCAATAACTTTATTATCATACTCATAGTAAAAAAATTCACACTTTTAAACTTTAGTAACAAGTTTAATAGAATAATAATGTTTTTGACCAAATTAACTGACTTTCCTCAGTTAATTATTTATCAAATACAAAGTTTGAATGTAAAAGAACAAAAATTAAAGCATTAAATTGAATACAAAAAATTTAAAGATAAAAGAATATACAAAATTTAAAACAAAAAATAATACGTAAAATTTATAATACAAATGTAAATAAAATGAAAATAAAAATAAAAATTTTAATAATGAAATATTTTATAATATTAAAGTAACAAAATTTGATCAAGTTAGTCTTCATATAATGTGCGCCATACAGTGAAGAGAGTGCTGCATCATAATAATTGATGCAAGCAAGTTTCTTGTGAGCCTTATAACTTTCCATCCTCTCCAAATACTTAAGATAATTGGCATTTCTGGTTAGTCTGATTCACCTGGACATCATGGTGGGAAGCATAAGCTGTTAAAGCCATACTAGAAAGATTCCTGTCAATGTTATATCTATGTTCTTTGATTCTTTAATGCAGATTGCATCTGTTAGCCTCTAACTACATGAATTTCATTAAAAAATTGGTGGTCATTTATTGGAATAGAATCAAACCAAGATGAAGTACTAGATCATAGTTCAGTTTGTTATTTCTTAAAAATTTGTTGAAAAAATGATTAGGTAAATTGAGGATAATTTGTGAATTAAATGTATCTTTTTTTTTACTCTTCAGGCATTAAACTCAAGTTAAACAAAAGTCAAGATTTTAAAAATGACAAAATTTTTAAAATGTTGACTTTTGTTTAACTTGAAATTATTAAATTAAATAATTTCATTAAATAATTTTCAAATTGTAATGCTAATGGATTATCTTCTTATACCTTTTTTGTGCATATTAATTAATAGATTTACACAAAAATATGAGATTATCTAAAACTTTATAGTAATATTCATAATTAAAAATAGAATCATTTATTACCAACAAGATCAACTAAATGCTAATTTTAAGAATCTCAAGATTTATTTGTGATTAAACAGTTTTGAGACATTTACGTCATCTCCAGATCACTGTTAATATAATTCATATAAAAAACTGAACTCTTGAGTTGTATATATCAGAACATGAGTAAAACTCAAGATTGTTTACATGGTCTGGTGCATAACTTCAATTGATTTAAAAAGACTGTTCTTTATTCAAATTGTATTAATAATAAACTAAAGATGAAATATCTCAAAAATCATTTAATCACAAATAAATCTACAAACTCCTTAAAAACTTCAGCATTTACTTAATCTAGTGGATTTGTTATAATACTAATTGTTTTGATCTGTATGATGTTTAGATTATTACTAATTGATTATAACAAATGATTACAAAAAACAATTCTTTTTTCATTCTTACATTACTATTAAATGTATCATAGAAAAAAATTTAAAACATATGAAATAAATTACAATTAATCACTTCAAATAGAATGAAAATAATAATTCATTGTTAAACTTTACAACTGACTACTTTTATACTTCTCATATAGTTGTAAATGAAATTCATTCCTATAAACCAAAATGGGACAGCTGTACCTGAAATTGTTTCATTTAACTGAAACAGATTCCATGTGCTGATTGATCATATATTTAAATTATGTCATAACAATGCCATGCCTCTAACTTTCATTTTCAGATAATTTTAAGGAAAAATGTACTAGTTCCTTCAATAAGTTTGAAACAACTTGCAATATAAACTATCATAAGTGTTTAATTGCATAGAATATTTTTAAATAGGAGTAAAAACTTAGCTAAATATATGTACTTTTGTGAAAACATTCAAATGTAAAAGTCATAATTAAATTCCTTAGTAAATATTTCTTTTCTTATTAAAATTTTTAAAGAAAAGAATTTTTTCTTTTTCCTTAGAAAACTAGAATAGCACTACAAAAACTTAATAGATTCTTTGGCATTACCAATACATATTACCTAAAAATTTTTAAAAATTAATTATAATCATCGTTTTGAAGAAAATTTATCAAATTTATTAATAAAATAGTAAAAAAATACTTACTGTATCCAATCCTCTACTTCGACGACCAAATAAATATTCAAGAGCTAATGTAGGCTTAGGAATTTCTTGTCTATCAACAAATCTATATATAATACTTGTTTTCCCCTATTAAAATTATCAATAATACATTTAATTTAAATTTTTCATTTAAAAACACTAAAAAATTAATTAAAATCTATATTAATATACAAAAGTAAAACTGACATTGTTGAGAAACAAACAAATCATAGCAATATATATTAATTTACAATGTAGTCAAATACATTTCCTTTCATTTCCTACATTTATCAATTTTAATAATCAAAAGTAAACATGTTTTTAATAATGTTTGAAAAATTTGAAATTTTTCAATATGTTATAGAGTTATGTTTGAAAAATTTGAAATTTTTCAAACATAACTCTATAACATATGAGGATGTATCAAAATCATGTCATTTTGCTACACTCAACGGACACTAGATACCATACACAAAAACTTAAATATGACTGAATACCAGGGCTGTAGAATCAGTAGATTTTTACACAACTCTGACTCCAACTTTTCCTTGCCATTCTTGTATGTAAACATCTCTTTAATCCAAAACTTGTTCAGTAGACTATCTCACAGCATTTCAATTAGAAACATCTTTTATTTAAAAAATTTTAAATTCCGATTTTTAAAATAAAGATGTTTCTAACCGAAATGCTGTGAGATAGTCTAATGAACAAGTTTTGGATTAAAGAGACATTTACTACAGTAGAGCGTCGTTAATCTGAAAGCTGGTTATCCGAAACGTCCGTTATCCGAAAGCATTCCAGTCGGCAAATTTGAATTTTCGCTAGTGCTGTGGTGCTGCAATCTTCGGCTATTTCTCGGGCTATTCAAATATTTTACGTTTTTGATAATAAATTAACATCTGGAGTATAATTTTTTATTGTTTTTATATTTTTCAATAAATTTATTTTGTTTGTACAAAATAAATAATTTTTAACGATACAATAGTCTTCGTTAGGCTTAACATCGACGAAAATTCAACGCGAAGCGACACGCAACGGAGAGAAATTTCAACATGGGATGGATATTTTTTCGTACATGATTCGTTATCCGAAAAATAAGTTATCCGAACCACCCCAGTCTCCAATTGATTCAGATAAACAACGCTCTACTGTATTTAGTTGATATTTATTTTTAGATAGTTTTAACAGTATTTTATTTAAACACGAGACTAAAACTTTACTTTTTGTTTTTAACTAGTGATTATATGAATAGCTACTTCCTTATTTATTCATATCAATCTTTTATATTTTTGAATATATCAATAATAATGATTTAAAGTATAAGATTTAAATTATACTTACTGATTGTTTATTTCCAAGAAATATAATGNAAAATTGGGATTCTTAAAACTTATAAATAAAGTAAATACAGAAATAAACATCAAACGAAATTACAATTATACATTATTAAAATATAGAAGTTCAGCGCAGAGAATCATAACTACAAATCTCTTTCTTTTGCAACATAACTATAAAAATTGTTTTGGTATTGTTTCGCACAAAAGATAATCGAATTTATCTTAATTTTTTAGTAATCATAACTACAAATCTCTTTCTTTTGCAACATAACTATAAAAATTGTTTTGGTATTGTTTCGCACAAAAGATAATCGCAATTATCTTAATTTTTTAGTAATTTTAAGATCAAAGATCAAAGTTTAATCATTATTCAAAATATCTTTTCTAAACAATATAAAATCCCTTACAGAGTAAAAAACATGTAGCAAATGATCTTCATTAGTAATGTAAAATTCTCAAAAATCATCCTTTAGTAAATAATAACCATAACAATTACTCATCAAACAAAAAGTACAAAAAATGAATTTTAAACAACACATTTTGTTGATAAATAAAGTGATACCAAAAACAACAAATATAATACAAAATGATCATAGTTAGAGTTCAGAATTCCCTATAGAAAAAACTATTGGGCAAATCTCAACCAAATTTAGTATATATACCAGGTTGTTCAATAAGTTTTGTCGTTCGATAAGAAAAACACAATTTTTTGGTTTGAAATACATTTTATTATTCAATATAATCTCCCTGAACTTCAATACACTTGTTCCAGTGATCTTCTAATTTATGGATTCCATCCCTAAAGTGAGAATCTGGAAGACTGTCGAAATACGCTTCCACGGCTGCTATTACCTCTTCGTTTGATGAAAATTGTTTCCCACGCATGAATTTTTTGAGATGTGAGAACAGCCAGAAGTCAGAGGGAGCTAAATCTGGTGAATAAGGAGGATGTTGCAACAATTCGTATTTTAATTTACTGATTTCCGCGATGGTTTTTTGAGCTGTGTGAGAGGGTGCGTTATCTTGATGAAAAATGATTTTTTTTCTTTTTTAAACAAGGTCTTTTCTCATGAATTTTTACATCCAGCTGGTCCAAAAGATTACAATAATAATCTGAATTTATTGTTTTACTAGTTTGGAGGTAATCCACAAACAAAATTCCTTTTGCATCCCAAAAAACTGATGCTAACACCTTCTTGGCCGATTTCTGGACCCTAACTCGCTTTGGAGCCAAAGTACCAGGTTCACGCCACTCCTTAGCCTCTTGTTTTGATTCAGGATCATGGTGGTAGACCCAAGTCTCGTCCATAGTGATGAAACGACGCACAAAATCCTTTTTATCTTTTCTAAAACGCTCCAAATGTTGCTGAGAAAGTTGCATTCGAATGTGTTTTTGTTAGCGAATGCGGCACCCATTGTGCACACAGCTTTCTGTAACCCAAAACTTCAGCCAAAATATTGCTCACACTGCCTAACGAAATCCCTAGGGCTTCTACTAAATCTCTCTTGGTTATTCGACGATCTTCCAAAACCATATGCTGTATTTTTGCTACGATTTCTGGTGTTGATGCACTTTTTGGACATCCTTCATGTGGATCATCTTCAAGACTTGTACGACCACATTTAAATTCAGCAACCCATCTTTCTACTGTTCTGATTCCTTATACACTTTTAACAATCGTTCATAAATTTGTTTTGGTGCTACACCTTCCAAACATAAGAATTTTATCACTGCACGATATTCGATTTTTTCCATTGTAAAAAAATACAGTGACACATCGACTTTGAACAGCTGCAAATATACAATGAGTTGACGGATCTACTTGAAACTTGACACGTGTTTATGAAATAGTAGTACTATTTCATAAACAATAAAGTGACGATCCTAATAGCGCCATCTCATATCAAATGACAAAACTTATTGAACAACCTGGTATTGTCCTGAGTATATAGTTTCAATTTTCAAGGAATAGTTCTTTAAAATTCAGTCACTAAGGTGAATTTGGCACTGCTGTCTTTTAAATATGCCTATTATATATGTTTTCTAATAAATTTCAGGAATTATGAAACAAAATACAATAATTTTATTTTAATTACAGATATGGAATGTAGAATTGACAATTATATCAAAGATGTGGATCTATGTGCTTCCCATCTCTATGCTCAAGACTGAATTTGCTGCACAACACTCTTCAAAATCAAAAGTCACAGATTCAGATCTGGTGATTTTTACAGCCATGACATTGGAAACAGTTAGTTTAAGTACTCTATGATGCAATAAATGTTGTAATAAGGTTTACATATTTAAGTCTATATGTGGGTTATACCATCTTGCATATAGATTGTGATGTTCAGATAGTTTGAATGAAAAAGTTTTGGAGTATATCTCTGTATCTAGTGGCAATAACAGAACATGTCACTAGCCTAGATTCAGAGTTTTCTTTAAAAAAATAAGATCCAGTGATAAAAGATGAAACCACATCACACTTTTACTTTTGGTGAGTGCAATGGAATTTATTGGCAAAAACAGATTTTTGTCAGACCAAATACAGCAGCTGCAAGCATTCATATCATCATGTAAATAAAAATGAGCCTCATTGCTCCACAGAACTTGCCACGACAACACTTCATTAACTATTGTCTGAGCTATAAATGTTATTTTAAGAATTTGCACTCTACATTGGTTACAATAATTGTGACAACTTGAGCAATTAACCTAAGCAACAGATCTTGCATACTTTCCAATGCACTTTTTGTAGAAAATATTTTTCACATCTCATGTAGGTTCAGAATGGAAGTGACTCACTAGCAAAACAGTATCATAAAAACAAAGAAAGTCTAATGGTCCATATACTGTATAAATATTCATAATATGCATACTGAATGTAAATCATCAGGCAAAATTCGTATACTTAATTTGTGGCAGAAAATGTCATTCACTACAGATATTATCAATTAAATTTTGCCAATGTCATATTTAAGATATAATTTTATAATATAAACAACTTCCAACCACTTGACACTGCGTTGAATAACAACAATCCACGAAAAACCTTTTTTTACGAGTGTTATGTCACTATTAAATTCCACAAGTACTTTCGACCTCCACCGAGGTCTGCTTCAGGTGGTGTCCCACGAAAAACCTTTGTAACGAGTGTTATGTCACTATTAAATTCCACAAGTACTTTCGACCTCCACCGAGGTCTGCTTCAGGGCTGTTTACTGACTGGCCGTGTTTCGACCTCGGTGGAAGTCAAAAGTACTTGTGGAATTTAATAGTGACATAACACTCGTAAAAAAAGGTTTTTCATGGATTGTTATAATTTTATAATATTTTAGTTTTGATTAATTTGCATTCTTTCTTGAATCAATTACTTCTGATGCTGTGGCCTGACTTAAAAGTAAATAAAGTACACTACAGAATGCAATACACTGTATACAGTATAATGAAAAATCCTTAACTGGTTACTTATCTTACAATAAACATCATCTTTCAAACCAGCAAAAAATATTTTCATCTCAAGTACTTTCAACCTCAGAACATATCTTTAAGATACAGAACACAAATTTCAAAAATTTGAAAGTACTGTTCTAGAGAATTTAAAAATTCTTATAAGTAAAAATAGAATATTTAAATATATAAAACATTTTTAAGTATACAAAAATCTTAGAATTAACAATATATAAAAGTAGAAAGTAAATGCTTTTATTTACATATATGTATTGTTAATTCCAAGATTTTTGTATACTTAAAAATGTTTTATATATGTAAATATTCTATTTTTACTTTTAAGAATTTTTAAATTCTCTAGAACAATATGTACTTAAACATATTTTGTTCAAATTTTTGAAATTTGTTTTGTGTATCCTATGGATATGTTCTAAGGTTGAAAGTACTTGAGATTAAAATATTTTTCTGGTTTGAAAGGTGATATGTCTATTGCAAAACACTATGTTAAAATTTATCAAATGATAAGAAAAATAATCATTTTTTCATCATTAAATTTTTGTAAAAAAATTGCCAATTTTTCCAAATGGCAATGACAAAACTCAAATTTCAAATTATGCAATTAACAGACTGTTCTAAGAAAAATTTGAATTTGAACTTGGGTACCATAAAATTGTATGTTTCACCAATAAAAAGCAGTGATGTAAAGATATAAATATCCTATTATTAGTTAATCAAATAAGTATCATAAATAATTTTAAAATTTTGTATAAGATCACATAATTTATTATACATTTCATTAAATTATTCTATTATATACATATATTTTATCTTAAATATTCACATATACAATTATTTCATAGTTAAAACATATGTTAAAAAATAATTATATTACAGGCCTATACAAATCTAGCACAAAATAACTATTTATTAAAAGCAGACTTTATTAACAAAATTAATATTTACATTATGATCTAGATATAAAATAAATTTTTAATATAATACCATCTTTTTCAGCTGTTCTTGCTTTCTCAATTGCTAGATCCCATATATTATCTCTGAAATATAAACAAAAATTATAAAACAAATTGTTGAATAAAGCAATACTCCAAGTTACGTAAGTAATGAGGACTGTAGACCTTTACATAACTTGAATTTATAAATTGCTTAAGTGTAACTATGTAATTAATAACTCAATACTCTATTTATTTCTAAAAAAATTTTTTTTAAATAAACTTTTAAAAACTATTAAAACTTTAAAGATTAAAAACTAAATAGATAACCTTCTATACTATGATAAATGTTAGTATTTGGTAAAAGTAAAAATTTTACCAAATACTAACATTTACTGTTTAAAAATTTTAGTATTACTTTTGTCTCTGATCAAATGCAGTTACAGATGGAAAAAACAATGGTTATCTATGTAGGCAGTTTTTTTCAACCTCTAATGGTTCATAAAACAAAGACAAGTATAAATAAAATGAATTTATTACGAAAAGTTAGGTACAAACATGATTACTTTTTGACATAATCACCATGAAGATTGAGGCATTTGTCATATCTGTGGACAAGCTTTGCAATCCCCTCTTCATGGAATGTTGCCACCAGTGATTTGAGATGTGCCTTAACATTGTTTTGAAGATTGTCATTAGTCTCGAACCTCTGCCCTCTTAGTCATGTTTTCAGTTCAGGGAAGAGGTGGAAATCTTCACACATTAAAGGTGTGTGAAGACTTCCACCCAGCTTGGAACTTTTTAAACACCCAGCATATAGCCCTGATTTAGTGCCGAGCGACTTCTACCTCTCAGGTCCAGGCCCATCTCAAGTCACTGGTAGGAACATTGTACAAAGACAGGATATATTGAGCCCCATCCCTCACTACCTGGCTGCCCTATTATGGACCTGGCCAAAGCCATAACGGGCTTGCTAAAAGAGACCCTCTTAATGCCCACAGGACGAAAAGAGTTAGAAAAAACTTTTATTATGTAATAAAAGTTTTCTTATTTCAAGCAATAAAAAAAAGTCAAATAAATTATATCACAAAAATTAGATGTAAAAGAGACGTGTAACTGAAACATTGTGAAAAGTTGCTTAAAGAACCAGGCAGAGTTAACAGAGCAATACCTAAAACATTCAAATTAATTTAATCAAAAAATAATGTGAATCATTTTTAAGAAATTTCATTTAAAAACCTTTTTGCATAAAAATGAAAATTTAATAAATTTGAATAAAACTAATAAATGATTTTTTTTAAATATGAAACAGATTAATTTCACATAAACTCCATAAATAAAATAAAATAATTGAACTAAGAATTAGTTAAATCATGCAATATACTGTTATAATTTCATTAACATTGTTATTGCATATTATCACAGTTGTTACTATTTATTTTGACTAATTCAAATATACAATCTGTAGAACTTATATAAAAGTCTCATTCATGAAAATATGATTAGATACATTAACTTTATAAATTAAGTATAATAAAAATACAAAACATTAAAATAATACAAAAAAAAACAAATTTTTAAAAATGTTTTCACAATAAAAGAACCAAATAAAAATAATAATAATAATTAAATTACTATTATTTGCATAAAAGTGAAGAAATGTGATATTTGTATTGCAATTCAATATTATTCAAACAACAATGATATTGACATTTCTGATATATCCATTACTTTAAAATTTAATTATCATTAAAATCAAGAACCAATGTCTTTAACTTAATAAAGTGAGAAATAGAGATAAATTATTCTTCAACAGAAAATATCACATTTATAAATAAATAAATATATTATTGGATATTTAAATATAAACTTTGTCCTATCAAATTTAAATTAATGCCATTGTACAATACATGGACAAAATAGTTATTTTAATTAATAAAATAAATTACAGCTGTCCCTTGATAGTCCGACGCACCTCCCGTCAAGGTACCCGTTCCCATTACGTGTCTGTTTGCACAGAAGCATGTTGCAACATGAATCTCCTCACCCAATTCTTACACAATGACACACATTTCGTGTGTTTTCCTTGAGCAGTTCTGTTCAAACAGTTGGAGTAGGGAATATTGTAGGCTACTTCTAACAAAACAATGCCAAATATGTAATCACTTTCGTAATCCAACACTTTTGGTAATCTGACACCCCTTCGGTCCCATACCTGTCGGATTATCAAGGGACAGCTGTATTATTCTATCAAAAATGTACTCAATAAATAAGTAGAAAGCATAACCATTCAAAATTATACAGAGTAAAATTGACTATTACAGAATTAGAGGTAAAAATTCACAGTAAACTGTATTGATAATTAGTATGCAAAATGTAAACAATACTGTAACAAAAACCATAATAGTAGAAAGTTCAGCAAACATAAATTTTTATAATAAAGACTATATAAAATAAAAACAAAATCTTTTTTCATCCAGACTTAATCAACCTAAAGATATCAAATTAAGGCATCATACCTATTTTCCAACATTTAAAGTTAATTAAAATGTCTCCTGATGGAAATTTAGATAAATTTTTAATTAAAAAAAATATTAAAAGTATATAAGTTCTAAATTAAATATTGTGGTTTATCACACAGTATTGCTTAATTGACAAATTCAATAACATTTCAAGCTACTAAGGAATATTTATATACATTGCATGTAACAAAAATTCACTATACCTTTAAAATGCAGTCTAGTTTACATCTGTCGAACGTTTTCGGTCTGATTCACAAACCTTCATCAGGATCTAGTTTACATCTGTCGAAAACGTTCGACAGATGTAAACTAGACTGCATTTTAAAGGTATAGTGAATTTTTGTTAAATAGTAATGCAGTTAGAGATAGAATGAATAGAAACATTGCATGTAATCTATTGAAACAAATACTATCAATGTTTTATTGTGTTCTTTTAGGTAACATGAAACCAATCGTTTATTGTATAAAAGTTAGGTATTAATTATTGCTAATGATAAATATTATACCAAAGAAAAAAATATTCTGCAAATAAAACCAGTGAGCAAACTGGATAAAAGTATGAGGATCATTCAAAAAGAAACGAGCCAGAGGCTGGAATGTGAAAACCGATGACAGAATTGTAATATTGTTGCGTAAGAATGTGTGGTTCCGACAACAGAACGGAAGATCACAGCCCGCTGCTAGAGGGTCACAGGTGCTTACCGCATGACTACAAAGCTTCTTACATACGCGACGATATTACAGTTCTGTCATCAATTTTCACATTCCAGTCTCCAGCTCGTTTCTTTTTGAATGATCCTTATATATATAATACACTTAAACACTATATCATTCCAACAATAATTACTTACTGCTAATGTTTTTGACCATTTTAAATAATCATCATCAAATTATGATCAAGTAAAAAAATTACAAGTGCCAAAAGAATGAAAAAACATTTAACACAATTAAACAATTTAAAACATATTATTATACACTATATTATTTTTTTATTTGATTTGCATTCTTTCAGCACTTGTAATTTTCCTTTTAATTACAGCCTGATAAAGATCATTCAAAATGTTCAAAAATGTTATGCTGGATTGATATGTACGATATGCCAACATAATTATTTATCATTTATCATTATAAATGATAAATAATAAAGCTATAAATAATAATGAAATAATTTTATTTTTCTTTTCAGAACGAGGAAGACTTTTTCTGTGCTCTACACCATATTTTTACTAATTGAATTACTTGTTCTTGTAAATTAATTCAGATATTGTTAATTCATCAAAACATTTATTGTAATGACAATATTTTCTTTCACAAATTATGAATCATTCATTAGACTGTGTTGAAAAGTGACTGACACAAAATATGCCTATTTTTGTTTGAAAAAATTGAAATGCACACAAAATTATCGCTCGTTTGAAATAAATATTTTCTTAACTTACGCAGGCATATTTAATAATTTTATTTTATCAAGTGATTTATCGTATAATGACTACGCATTCGAATTTATATCAGAGATGAATAAGTGGGTTTTTCCAAATCAATTCCCCTATTATCAACCTTACAATGCCCGATCCGTTGAAATAACATAAACATCTCGCATACAGTACGTTGCCAGATAGAAAACACTAAAATCTTTAATAAAGATTTTGCAAATTCTTTTTTTTATATTTATTACAATTATAAATTTAATCATGCTTTGCATGAAATGTTATTTTAAAAATTTATTGTTTACATTTTATATTCATTAGATATGATTAGACTAACTTTAGCGTTTGATTATTGACATACAGTAATAATTCGGCCGAATACCCGAGCGGTCAAGGTGGCAGCCTACCGCTCTGAGGGATCCGGGTTCGAATCCAAACAGGTCGAAAAATCTCCAGTAATTTTTCGGGGGGGTCCGTTTGGATATGTCGAGCCCCATCCCTCACTACCCGGTCGACCTGTTGTGTGGGTCTTACTAAAAAAGGCCTTCTTAGTGCCTACAGGACGAAAAGAGTTTAAAAAAATACCACTTTCATTATATCTTACTAACAAGTAAGCATCTTTAATTAATCTGTCTGTACCAAGATGCCTGTATTGTCCCCGATTTTAGACGGACGGTCTTCTTTATTAGTTATGGTAATTGGTTACTATAGTTTTTCTTGAATTTTTAAATGGTGAATTGGCAATGTTTTTCCTATTTATTACAGATAAGTACAAAGTCACCCATATGATTTTGTCTCAGGAGGAGTTAAATTGAACTAAATAAATAATAAGCTCAGCAAATTGATTGGTGTTTGATTATATTTGTAAATAAACTGCTGAGGAAGTGAGAGTAGTCCCAGGAGGAGTTAAATTGTTTAGTTGATCTAAATGGTAGATCAACAAGCAATTGAATCAATAAAATAATGTTCCTTAGACAAAGTGGTTTCAGTTTATATCTTGTTTTCACTATTAACTCTCACTAAGAAGGCCTTTTTTTCCATGCCTATAGTGAGTTTGGCCAGGCCCATAATGAACGTAATCCAACACTTTTGGTAATCTGACACCCCTTCGGTCCCATACCTGTCGGATTATCAAGGGACAGCTGTATTATTCTATCAAAAATGTACTCAATAAATAAGTAGAAAGCATAACCATTCAAAATTATACAGAGTAAAATTGACTATTACAGAATTAGAGGTAAAAATTCACAGTAAACTGTATTGATAATTAGTATGCAAAATGTAAACAATACTGTAACAAAAACCATAATAGTAGAAAGTTCAGCAAACATAAATTTTTATAATAAAGACTATATAAAATAAAAACAAAATCTTTTTTCATCCAGACTTAATCAACCTAAAGATATCAAATTAAGGCATCATACCTATTTTCCAACATTTAAAGTTAATTAAAATGTCTCCTGATGGAAATTTAGATAAATTTTTAATTAAAAAAAATATTAAAAGTATATAAGTTCTAAATTAAATATTGTGGTTTATCACACAGTATTGCTTAATTGACAAATTCAATAACATTTCAAGCTACTAAGGAATATTTATATACATTGCATGTAACAAAAATTCACTATACCTTTAAAATGCAGTCTAGTTTACATCTGTCGAACGTTTTCGGTCTGATTCACAAACCTTCATCAGGATCTAGTTTACATCTGTCGAAAACGTTCGACAGATGTAAACTAGACTGCATTTTAAAGGTATAGTGAATTTTTGTTAAATAGTAATGCAGTTAGAGATAGAATGAATAGAATGAATGATGGCAATGCCGGCCAGATATTATAGAAAGTTAGTTCTGAAGATTTGCAAGAACGAAGCCAAACTAAAATTCTTAACGGAATGTAAACAGTTGGGTGTTGTTCCTATGTCTATCTGGAGAATACACTTGCCGCAGGGATGCGCGTCGCTTCTTCCAAGACTAAGATTATTATGTTTAAGAAAGGCAATACGCAATGTTCGGCGCAGGAAATATTATTTGATTGAAAGACTAATAGAAGTAGAAAATCAACTGTACGAAACAGATCCGGAATTACTTGGTAATGTTAATAGCAGAGTAATAAACTTAGCGGAGCAGGTCGCAGAAAGGTTGAGTTTGAATTATAGGAAGAAAATGAGATGGATAAGAGCAAAGCAACAAGGAAACACAAAGCCACAAGCAGTATCTGAAATAGTAAGTTGGGATAATGTTACACCACCAACGTGCCTAAAGGAGGCTTGCAAATTTGGTCCCAAGTACGTACCACGCCCTAAGCTTAAATATGAAAAAATTATCCCTGATGTTGAACAAGCGGTAGAAGGGCTTAGCGAGCTTAAGAAAGAGGCTTTTAGATGGAGAACAGTTTTTAAAATAAACAATGACGCGATAAGATCATCCCACGACACAATTTGGAAAAATATCAGAGAAAGTAANTACACTCCTCGTGTCCTGTCTGTTTTATAATTATATTTATTTTATTCCATAAAAATAACCATTTGGTCCGCGAGGGAATAGAATGTAAAATAAATACAATAAATAAATAAATAAAGTCCATAATCACAAAGTTCTATAAGATAAAGTTCGAATAAACAGAAGCAGAAAATAAATAAATTTAGTTTATTTTCTTTTGATTTCAAACGATAACTTAAAAAATAATATATAAAAATAATCACTGCCGTTAAATCCGATTATAATTGACATAATCATTTAAGCAAATATTATTTAAATGAAATTTTATTAATAAATAGTCTTTTAATATTAAACACATTATATATTATAATAAAATATATTTAGATACAGTCAATATTTTATTCGTGTTTTTAATTTTATTAAAAATATTGTGTATAAAAATGCATCACTAGAGGGCATTAGCAGCAAACGTCAAATTATTTTGGGAAGTATTTGTGGTTTGTTTCCGTAAAGAAGAAAATGTCTTTAGAAGCTGATTCACTCGATAAAGTAAAAGAAAAATATACAGAAATTAGGAGACTGTTAGACGAAGAAAGTAAAAATGATCCGCCAAGTCATCCTTACAAATCAAAGTACGAAGCACGGAAACTTCTCCAGGAGCTTGACTCTGATCTAAATATTAATAAAATTAACGATACAGATTTAACTGTTTTATTATTATCGTTAATTAATTATGATTTAGGAATAATCGCTATTGACACAGAAGAAATATTTGAAGGTGAAGAGTGTTTCAAGAAATGTTTGGAATACATTAAGGATAATGATTGCAGTCCAAAGTATTGTATTTTATGTATGAAAGCTTTGAATCAGTTAGGAATATTGTGGTCTGGACGAAATGAATTAAAAAAAGCTTGTGAATATTTGAAAAAGGCTGAGAATATGTATAAGCAGTATTTGACTGAAAATCCTTCAGTAATTCCTATTGATGCAGTGCAACTGTTTTTAAAGAATTCCAATAATGAGCAAGGAAGTCTAATTTTTGAAAAAGTTTATACCCATACTTTGTATTACTTGGCACAAGTATATAAGAATTTAGAAGAAAATGAAACAGCTGCTCTCTATTGTTTCAATACACTCCAGAGACAACTGGAGACTGATGATTATGACCCAATTGAATGGTCATTGAATTCTGCAACTCTTTCTCAGTATTATTTTGCGAGTGATAACCTGTCTGCGAGTCGACACTTTTTGGCATGTGCTGAGTATATATTATCAATTTTTGAAAAGAAAGTTGAAAACAAAGGAGAAAAAAATGAAGAGCAATGGGATAAAATAAAACATTGCAAAGCATCGATTGCTAGATGTTGGATTAATTATGGTTTGTTTATTTTCACAATATCTGAACAGGAAGTATTATTGAGAGCTGCAAAAAAAGATGGAGATAATTTTAAGGAAGAAAATGAAAAAAGGCATTTATCAGATCCAATTAATGAAGATCAGTATGTTCTTATAGATTCACCAGAAGTAAAAAAAATAGAGCAAAATATAACAAATCAGTATATTCTTACTTTTGAAAAAGCTAGAATAGTTTTTCATTCTGTACAAAACTGGCTGAAAGTGGCAAAAGATTATTTTACTCTTGATGGTCATACTACTGATTATGTACAGTTAACACAGGATTCAAGTCGTCTGTATAAATTACTGGCCTTCTTTGAATCCAATGCTGATCGCCAATGCAAAATGCACAAAAGAAGAATTGATCTTTTAGAAGAGATTTTGCAGCAATTAAATCCACAGTTTTATTTGTTAATATGTAGGCAATTAATGTTTGAATTAGCAGAAACATACTCTGAAATAATGGATATTAAATTGAGCATTATGAAAAATGATGAAAGCAGGCAATCCAGCAGTCATGCTATAAAGAAAGTAAATGCATTAATCTTTAAAGCTGTTCACTATTTTGAAAAATTTATTGATACATTAAAAGAGAATAATAAACTGCCTGAGAAATTTGCAGAGGATGTTGTTCGTCCTGCTCTTGTTGCACATTTCTGTATTGGAAGACTTTATTCTAAACTTTTTGCTGAACCACAAAAGCAACTAGAAAATATAATGATAACTGAAAAATATTATAAATATGTAATAAATTACATTAAGAAGTATCCATCACAAGAAAATTCAATAAAAGAGGAACTTCCTCTGATTAAAGAAATGGTTGAATTAATACCAGGAAAAATTAAAACTATTTCAAGGGGATCACTTGTTTTATGAAGAATTATATGAACATTTTGATTGTAAGTTGATTTATTAATATATAAAAAACTTGTTAAATATAGTAGAGTCCTGATTATAAAGATGTAGGTTTTTGTGATTGTTAAAAAAAAAGTTTTTGATTTGAAAACTTGTCCAGTGTAGAACTTGTGCAAGTATTGCAAGCATTAAGCTATAATGATCACTTTTCTATAAATATATCGGATAACATGGTAATGATCATGTTTCCAAGATTATGTGGTTTTTTTTGCCAATGTCTTACCAATTAGAAGATTGAGACACATACAGCCGATTGCAGAGACAATGTTTAGAGACCAACGGTGGTTTACAGATCGGGTAGACAGCTGTTCAGAAAAATTTCATTGCAGAGACTGCATTTCTCTCCTGCCACAATATAGACAGCGATTAGAAACAAGTTATTTGACCTATTTTCTAGACTCACTTGACAGCAGGTTTAGAAAGCTTTTCAATTTGAGTGGTAGCTTTGTTCGTGGAAAAGTTTAGATAAAACAGATATCGTTCCTGTGATAAATGTTGTAATTGGTACAAATTGACAAAATTATTTATTAATTAATTGCTTGGAGCAAAAACAACAAAATAAAATACTTTAAATTTGTTTTAAATGTTCCAGTTTTGATATTCAAATGGGTGAAGACTTAAACCTTCAATTAATTTAAATCAGATGTATTTATTTACAATTTGAGTACCATGTCAGTTATAAAACGTTAATGCATTTCGGAGTCATTGTACTGTTAAACAAACGAGACAATTTTAATAATTACAGAAATCCTATAGATATAAAAACAAATGTAATATTAATAATAAAATATTTAAAATTATTCATTTTGACAGTAATAAGATGTTGAAATAATTCCTTAAAAATTATTCTGAATTCGGTATAAATTTTCTAAATATGGATTTGTTCGTATTTTAAACCATATTGGTGATGAAATTAAATATCGAAATGGAAAAGGATTGTCATTAATTGCCGAACAATGGTTTTGATGGCCTTAAGATATTATTTCTGGAAGCTTTCGGAATATAGCTGGCTACTATTTCTGACATCACACAAATAACCCAATTGGCCGAACGACTCCTAAAACGGGAGTAATAGTGAAGTAAGTAAGAGCCAATGTTTTGCCGAAGTTCGTTTAGAGAACGGTCAGAAATAGACGATCGTCTTTGCAACGCATTTTAAACCTCAGTTCAGCCAGCCAACATCTATAGGCCGTTCTGTTGATAAACGTCGTTTAACGTCTCTGTTTCTCTGTCTCTGCAATTGGCTGATAGCTTTGAAGAACAATTCAATTGAGAAAACAGACATTTGTAATGAAGTTTTCCAAGATGTAAATTAGGAAGTTTTCTAAAAAAAAACTATAGGCCCTTTTTGAAATTAAATTCTACATAAACTTTTTTTAATTTTTTAAAATATTATTAACCCAATTATATTTTTAAAAAATATTTTATTTTACTGTGCTATATAATTAAGACTCTACTGATCAATATACTTTAGTTAATGAACATTTTTATTATATAAACTTTGTAACATTTTGGCTACCTTCAAACAAATAATTTTACTTCCTGTGGGCTGGATTATAAACTCCATACCGTATCCATATCCATAAACATTTGCAAAGCTGATACTAGCCTAAGGCAGTAGTTATAGAATACTGTAAGGCTATATCCATATTCATAACAAACCAAACATTTTTATGGCATATGAGGATCATATGATGAATCATATGCATGATGCATATGACAGACTCTTGATGTAAATATGAGAACAACTATATTTTAATTGATAACTTTTGAAATAATTTGGATAATGAAAGAAAGTGTTAAATAATTATGAATTATTTAACACTTTCAACTAGTGTTATCACCCATCCGGTTTTCACCCGGACAGTCCGGGAATTGACTCACTGTCTTGGTGAACTATTAATTTTGTCCGGAAAATTGTGAAATTACGATGAAACAAAGTTCTTGAAAATATTTTTACAAATTTACACTATTTTAACAGTGAAAGAATTCACCCTCACTGGAACTCATCTGCAATTCTGTCATGTTAGTCTGTTTACGCCAATGTGTGGTGCGCAACCCCTGTTGACTTTTTTTTTTTTTTTTTTGCTTGTATGATCGTACACGTCTCAAATAGAGCTAAGTTATCTGTACCGGTTCTTTCTTAATTTAGGTTACTTACCTTACTCCTACGCAAAGTCCCTAACTGTAACTAATTTAGGACCGGCATGCACGTTATTCTTCGCATTGTAAAATGACATTGTGCACGCGTCAGGAACTTCTGTTCGAACAAACCTGACATGCCGTCCGGGTCAGCGATTTTCAAAAGGTGGCAACACTATTTTCAACTTGCTAATTAAAAACAGAAGCTTAAAAGAACTTTTTGATTTATTTCTTTTTAATTTTCCTCTTTTTCTTTTCTGTTTTTTTTTTTTTTTGTATTAAACACTTATAGTTTGGCCAATTGGCCATTTTCAATCAGCTGGAAATATTTTCTTATATACGGCATATTTCCACAGATAAAACAAGATATAAATTTTCATCACAGTTTTATAGTTATCATATATCTGTCCTATAAGACAACCCCCAAATTATCAACGGCCTATGAATTTAGTTTAGATCAGCGATTATCATCTGGCTAATAATACTGTATAGCATATATGGAATTATGTCCTATTCGTAATTTTTTGAATGAACAAATTTTATTTTCTTGCATCTAGCAGCACTGCCTTGTGATTGTTGCAAACATTCACACTGATTCGGGCATTTGGGTAATGACCTNTGATAGCACCACCTATCTAAGTTATAACAGTTTCTGACCAGTTACCAAACTTGTGTGAAATTTGACATTATTGTGGTAAAACACTACACCTGTTTTGTTGATCAATTCTGGCCGCCTTTTCTGTTTGATGATATTACTCAATTTGTTTACTCAATGGCAGTACACTTTTGAATCAATTGTTAAATTGTATGGGAAAAGCTCCAAAAAAAATTTTCTTAAAATCCCACCAAAGAGAGCATCTCTCTTTAAGAACATGTGGAACTCATATATCGAGCTTTGAAACAAAACCAATTTGTTTCAAGAAATCATAAGCAGTTCAATTTGACAAATTTAATTAATCTCTTAATAATTTCATGTGTTGTTATTCGGCAGTTTGACTCAATCAGTACCTTTATTTTGTTTTCATTGGCTTCAACTAGACATCCAGAACATGGTGCATCTTTCAATATTGAAATTGCCAGACAAAATTTTGTAAACCAGTTTTGGCACTGTCGTTCTGTCAATACATCTTCTCCATACACGTCACACAACTTTTTTTCCTCGCTTGAACAGCATTCTTACCTTTTCAGTAATAAAAGAGCAAAATATGCCAAAAATGCTGCTTCTGATCTTCCATATTTGATGGGACACAAAAAATAAACAATTGCACAAAATCTAACAAAATTTTTTACAAATAAGCCTTAAAATGCTAACTGTCAAAATATATAATGGTAATATGGTTTAGAATGAAAATGGCGGGAAAATACGATTAATCCATCTAGTGATAAAAAAAACAAAATTACTTTCCGAACAACCCAATACAATTAGCAAGAAATGGAGAATGAGCAAAACAAAAAAAACTGAAATGAATTACACTTTAATACATTAGAAATTTATTTTATCAATACTTTAAATATTATATTATATTGTTCAGAAGTAATTTGAGTTGTCATAAGTTACTTTTTACCCAATCTGCTATATTTTGTCAGTTGTTTCCAGCTTCCAGTTGTATCAACTAATGGCAGTTTGGTGCATTTGTAATTTGCCAATTCTCCATATGCATACTGTAAAAATTTGATGAATGCAAACTTTTCATAGAGAATATGGTACAGAGTTATAACTATACTACAGATATGGTTACAGAGTTTATAACCAAGCCCATATATGTATAACATGCCAACTATTCTAGTTTGACTTCTAAAAATGAAATGAACAGACTTCTTTATTCAGAGAACTTCACACATACAAATTGATTAGAACCAAGCACTTTATTATGATCAATTTGTATGTGTGAAGTTCTCCAAATATAACAGATGTTTATAGCACTTCATAAACTTAATGGATATTGTAGGGAACCCATTCTTAATCAGCGGATTCTGCCCCGTCGGTTTGTCTCGCCAATTAACCAGTCCAATCTTTCCACAAAAAAACCTTATTTCACTCTCAGGGACCGCTACTTCACACTCCCTCTCCCTCTCGTGTCCCAAATTCCTCTCTCTGAAATATTCCTTCTTCCTGCATTTTCTTCCCCGGTCTTAACGGCCCCTCATTAGCGTGTGTTGATGGATGGATCGCATCTGCCCTGACGAAACCCCTCCCCAGAGAGGGAGGGCGAGAGGGTCCAATATCACTACAGATATTATTATGTCTTCACAAGGGAAAAATCTAATCCCTATACAATAGACCCGCCTATAACACGGGTTCATATAAGATGGATTTGTATAACACGGCTGAAAAATTGTGATTATGTTTGTATAACACGCTAAAAGAGGCTCGTATAACACGGTAAAAGAATGAGACAGATTGTCACGGCCGACTTGTGTCTCGACAGGATTGGTCAAATCTGGATAAATAGTGGACATTGCACAAACTGTTGAGTTTAAACGAGCAGCAGACCTACTAAAAATTATTTATTATTCAACGGCCATAAAAATTATATTTCTTTTAATGATGTCTCCGAAGTTCAGCGAATTTTTCGCAGAAAGAATAACTTATCAGGAAACATGTGACCGTTGTCCGATGAGCTGCTCTGCAACGAAAACAAGCTTAAGCAATGGCGTGTTCAAACGGTGCACACTCATTAAGTATTCCTACAATTTTTTGTTTATAGCTTAGTTTATATGGATTATTCTGAAAAAATTATACGTGATTTGGAAATGTTGAGTCAAATTAGTCTAGAATCAATTAATTTTATGGAAGAAAACCTTTCAAACAGTTGTAGCCGCTAAACTACACACGTGCCGG